TATTAATAAGTTAATATACAAATTAGCTTTTCTTAAAGCTAAATATTATAGGCTTTATATAGTAAATAAAATATTAACTAAACGTTAAAAGGCTAAAAAAACCTAACTATGTCTTAGAGAGTTACTTAATATAGCTAAAGCTAAAGTATTTTAAATAAAAAAAGGGGTTATTAATACTAAAAGTAAAAGTATATATTAAAAAAAGGCTTATATAAAAAAGAATAAATTATATAGTTAATAATATAGTAATTATAAAAAAACTAAATATAATATATAAATATATTAAGTAGTATAAAAGACCTTTAAAAAAAAAGATAATAAGTAGTTCTAATTAATTTTATATAATATTACTTAATTAATTTATATAAATAGCTGGAGAGTAAGTAGAAGTAGGTGACTTACTATAATAGGTAACTTACTATGTATATACGTTAACTAAGTATTAAGAAATAAATAAGTATATAAGCTATTATTACTATATAAAAAAAAACAGCTTTAGAAAAATACAACACTTATAATTAATTAGGTAAAAAATATAAAGTCTTAAATTAATATAATAAAGTAGTTATAGGTAAAAATAGGTCAAAGTAGTAGTTATATAAAAAGAATAGAAACATATATATAATATTATAGTATCTATTAAGAGACTAGATATAATGCTTATATATATTAGAAAGTTAAATCTACCTCTGAAGAAGAGGATTCTGAATAGTTTAAATTGATTTAAGGCGTTATATTTAATTTCTTTTACACTTTATTATACAGGTACTAGAGAGTAGCTTACTTGCTTATATAGCTTACTTACTTATAAGCTATGTTATATATTAAAGCTTAGTTAATATTTTATAAGGTTTTTTATATATTATAGTTTAATATATATTATATTATATATATTAAAAAAGCTATTAGTTATATCTTATATATCTTTAAGTTATAATAAAAACTTTTAATTAATTAAGTTAATAACTTACTTATAAATTAGGTTTTTTTTTAAATAACGTATATATATAGTAAGTAATACATTATAGTAAGTAATATACTCTTTCTTACCTTTTCACCTTTTATATAAGTAAATTTAACTATAATATATAAATTTAATTAAAACTACTTATTATCCTTTTCCTTATTACTATCCTAAACTACTTTATAGGCTTATAAATTATATCTAGTTTTTTTATAATTACTATATTATTATATATATAGTTTAATACCTTCTATATAACCCTTTTTTTAATAGTTATTTTTCCCTTTAGCATTAACACTATTTTTTTCTACTTATAGTATCTTTGTTTTAGTAATATTAAGTAACCCTTTAAGATATAGCTAAGTCTTTTTTGCTTTTTAATGTTTACTTAATACCTTTATTTCTATATAAAGCCTATTATTATTAGCCTTAAGAATAGTAACCTTATAAGTTAACTTATTAATACTTTTTGCTTATAAGTTAATTATTTTATATAAAAATATTAATAAATTATTTTAATATACTTAGATCTTTTTTTTTTAAAAAAAGTACTTTATATACCTTTTTTTATTATAGTTAGTATTTTTAGGTCTTAAGAGCTATTATTATTTAAAGGTAAGCTTAATAGTATAAGCGTTTTTAGCTTAAAATTTAAGTAAAAAATAACTATTTTAAGGTTAAAAGGTATAAAGTTTATTTATTTAAAACTAGCTTATATATTATTTTTTTAAATTTTTTATTATATAAGTATTTTAATAAGCTAAAATATTTTATATTAAAAAGTTAAAGCTTATATAATAAATAAAGAGATAATATATATACATAGCAAGTAGCCCATTATAGCAAGTAGCCCACCTCTACCTACCTTCTAGCTATTTATATAAGTTAATTAAGTAGTATTATACAAAATCAATTAAAACTACTTATTATCCTTTTCTTTAATGGTCTCCTATACTACTTAACATATTTTTACATTATATCTAGTCTTTTTATAATTACTATATTACTAACCGTGTAATTCACCCCTCTCTATATAAGCCCCCTCCTAACACGTATTTTTGCCTCTAGTATTAATAACCCCTTTTTTTACCTAGATTACCTCTACTTCAGCTATATTAAGGGACCCTCTAAGACGTAGTTAGGTTTTTTTAGCTCTCTAATGTTTACTTAGTATCTTATTTACTATATAAAGCCTATAGTACTTAGCTTTAATAAAAGCTAATTTATATATTAACTTACTAATACTTTTAGCTTATAAGTTAATTACTTTATATAAATAAATTAATAAGCTATATTAATAACTAGTAATCCTTTTTTTAAGTAATATAAAGCTTTATATAGTGTTATATACTATAGTTAGTATCTTTAGGTCTTAAGAGCCTTAGCTACTTAAGCGTAAGTTAAATAGTGTTAACGTCTTTAGCTTAAAATCTAAGTAAAAAATAACTACTTTTAGGTTAAAAGGGATAAAGCTAGTTTATTTAAAGCTAGCTTATACGTTTTTTTTATTTATTAAAATAAAAAAAACTACTTTAAAGGTAAAAAAAAAGTTATTTTTAGTAATATATATAATCTATATTTATATTAATTTTTTAATTTTTTTATTATATAACGCTTTTAATAAACTAAAATAGTTAATATTAAGAGGCTAAAGCTTATATAATAAATAAAAAAATATATAAAAAGTAATAATATTATATTCTTTATAGTAATTATTAAACTTAGTAGACTTATAGCTATTATAGCTATTAAAGATTAAGAGCTCTTTTATACCTTATATATAAAACTTTATATATTTTTTAAAATACTATAATTAATTTAAATTAATTTTATTTATAGTTTACTTATTTTTATTAAAGTAAATATACTATTAAAGTAAAAATTAACTATTAGTATACTATAAGAGGAAATAATATTTGCTTTTAATAATAACATATAAAAGTAATGCTTAGCTATTTATATATATACCTTAAATAATAAAAACTTATTTATAATTACTAGGCTATTTTATATAAGGCCTTTTATAGTAATTAGAGGTTATAATAACTTTTATATATAATAGTATTCTTATTAAAAAGCTTATTTTATTAAAATTATAGATATTATTATTATAAATTCTATATTTTATAATTATATTTTATATAAAAGTAAATTAAGCTTATATAATTATAGGATTCTTAGCTAATACCTTTTAATAATTAATTTTATATTAAAAACGCGTCTTTAGTTATAGTTAGCGTTATATAAAGTTCTTTACTTATTAAAATCTAATATATATTATATTATATTTATTAAAGAGATAATTAGCTATATCTTATATATTATTAAGTTATAGTAAAAATCTTTAATTAATTAGGTTAATAACCTATTTAAGAATTACTATTTCTTTTAGCTTAGTTATCTTTATTAATTTTATATAAGTCTTATAGTATAGTAATTACTTAGTATATTAGTATTAAAGTATTATTCTTAAGATACTATAGATAAAAGCTACTTTTTATATAGATAGTTTTAGGTCTTTTTTAATAGCTTTAATTATAAAGATAATATAACTTTTATTTAAAAAAGAACTTATTATTTTATATAAAGAAATATTAATATAAAGTTGAAGTTTAAGGAGAAAGAAGGAAGTAGGCTACTTGCTATAATAGGCCACTTGCTATACATATACGTTATTTATTAAAGTTAATTAATTTATAGCTATTATAACTATTAAAATTTAAAAAGTAATAAATGTTTTTTATATAATGCTTTATATATTAATTAAAGTATTTTAATTAATTTAGGTTAATATTATTTATTATTTATTTATTTTTATTTAAATAAATATATTATATAGCTAAGAATTAGTTATTAATATATTAAAAAAAATTTACTTTTTATAATAATATATAAAGGTATTATTTAGTTATTTATATATATACTTTAAATAATAAAAACTTATTTATAATTACTAAGCTACTTTATATAAGGTTTTTCTTATAATTAAATATTATAATAACTTTTATATATAATAATATTTTTATTAAAAAACTAGTTTTATTAAAATTATAAATTTTATAATTTATATTATATATTTTATAATTATATTTTATATAAATATAAATTAGCTTTATATAATTATAAGATCTTTAGCTAAAGCCTATTACTAATTCATTTAATATTAAACTTATACTTTTAGTTAAAGTTATTATTATATAAAGTTCTTTACTTATTAAAGTCTAATATATATTATATTATATTTAAAAAAAAGTTAATTAGTTATATTTTATATATCTACTTGTTATAAAAAAACCTTAATTAATTAAGTTAATAACTTATTTAAGAATTACCTTTTTTCTAATATAATTATCTTTATTCATTTTAAACGTATTTTAGTTTATAGTAGTTATTTAGTATATTAATAATAAAAGGTTATTTTAGAGACCTTAAAGTTTAAAGTAGTGCTTTATATAAATATTTTTAGGTTTTTTTTAAGAGCCTATATAATAAAAATAATATAAGTTTTATTTAAAGAGGATTATATGTTTATACGTAGAATAAAGTTAGTATAAAGGTTAAAGAGGTAAAAAGGGTATAGATATATATCACTCACTATGATACGTCACTTACTATACATATACATTAATCATTTTTATTAATTTTAAATATATTTTATTTCATATAATGTATTTAATATATTAATAATAAAAAATAGCTTTAAGGACTAAGTAAATAAAAAATACTTTTTATAAAGATAACTTTAGGTATCTTTAAATAGCTATAATTATAAGAATTATATAGCTTTCTTTTTTAAAAAAAATCTATTATTATATATAGAAGAAAGGTGTTCAAAAGACAACTAGTTTACAGTTAGATATATATGTGTTGCTTACTATGTATATACGTTATATATATACATTTAGCTAATACTATAATAACTTAAGACAAAACTTTAACTAAAAAACCTTTTCAAATATTATTAATATAAGACTATAGCCTAGGTTTTATTAGTATGAAAGAATTAATAATAAATAATACAGCTTTATACTAAGAACTATAATTCTAATACCTATTATAGTTAGTATAAGTTAGTAAAGGCTTAATATTTAATGTTAAGAAAGGATTAAGAAGAACCTACTATAGTAACCTTACTTCTGGCACGAATTCTTTGGCCGAAGAAGACGAGCGCCCATGGAATGACTGTTAACCCAGTGGCAATACCACCCAAAAGCGAACCCGCCCGCTCCTCTCCCAAGTTCCTGAACAAGGCACCTGTGACAAGTGGAAAAACGCCACCTAGCATGTTCCTGCAGCACGACTGCGCAGCGAGTGCCGAAGATGCGTACCTATGGTAAATATCGGCGAAATAGTTGAAGGTGGCCAAATACACCGAGTAAATGCCCCAAGTTGCTAGACCGATGCCAAAGGCAGGAGCAATCCAATGGAACTCTTGCTTCGCAGTGAAGCCAAAGAGGAAGAGACCGGCAGGCAGCAATGTAGCCGAGATGCAGGTGAAGTAGAGACGCGATTCGGGGGCCTCGGCAGGAAAGCGGCGCCGCATGAAGTGCCAGAACCGCGATGAGTCGCCAACGGGGTTATTGGCCTGCCACTGAGGCAGTCGAAGCAGCTTGTCTTGCAGGACACCGACGATGGTCGCCACCACGGACCCAACAATCATAGCAATGAAGAAATATCCCGACTGTTCGATGTCTAGGCTTCTTGTGCGCGACAGGACCAATGGGATGCTCCCAAATGTACAGTAGAGGACTGCCCAGGCAAAAGCACACCAAACAGAGAAGAAAAAGACAACCGGCTCTGTGAACAGCAGCTGGAACGGGCGCGAGACGGAAACAGACACAAGCTTAGCCAGAGATGCTCGTTGCTCGTCTTCTTTGACCAACCATCGCAGTCTCTGGGGCTTGGCTTGGGCGGAACACGACCGACTCAAGCGGCAGTTGGCACATGGCTTTTCCGGTCCAGAACAAGAACATCGCTGGGTATCGCCAGAGTTTGAAGTCGTGTCTGTGTCCCCGTTGTTGGCTGCCTTGTCTTCACGCCACACTCCATAATGACCTGATTCTTCCCTTGCCTGGTACCAGTGGTTCAGAGCTTCGGCCTTCCTCGAGAGTATCACCGATCCTCGACTCTCCTTGAAGAAAACAGCAAGAGCAACCACAAGCACAGTGTCGATGATGACCTGGTGCCAGAAGATCCACTTCCACGCCATCGTTCCGTTCTCGGCACCCATACGCTTCACCATAAGAGACGCAACCAAAGGACCGGCTCCCGTGCCGGCGAGTACTGCGCCACTGAAAAGGGCCATAGGTGTGTTTCTTTCGTCCTTTGCCCATAAATCTGCGATGACGCCGCCAATGACGGAGCTAAAGACAGAACCGCCGACGCCGACAAGGAATCTCGCGATGAGCATGGTTGCCAGGTTTGGTGCAACAGAACAAACGGCCTGGAAGATGACATAAACCACACCAGAAATAATGAAAACTGGATACCGGCCATAGATCTCAGAGAGTGGTGCCAAGACCATGGGCGAGAGAGCAAACCCAACGCAAAAGGTTGTAATTCCCACCAAGACCAAGAGCTGAGAAGTGCCGAGGTCATCAGCCATGATGTACGATGGTGGAGAGTATGAGCCGGCCGTGTAGGCAGTAAGGAAGGTGGCGATACACGAAAGCGCCAGCATCACGTATTTACGTGCTTGAGGCCACTGTAAAGGAGACATGTACTGGGCCAGATCAGGGACCGTCGGTTTTGAATGTCCTTCAACTGACTGGTGAGAGAGAACGTCTACCGGCTCGGGAAGAAGTGTGTCGAAAGTCAAATATCGATAAGTGATGGGACTATTGTCGTCAAGACAAGGGAAGCCGCTGGCTACATCAGAGAAGCCATGTGGAATCGAAAAGATGTCGGTTGGCCTTGAACCTTGAGGTGTCTTTTCAATGTCCTGGTGTACGTCCATCATGACTGAGACATCAAGGCAGAGGGTCAAAAATGTTGATGACGTTTGCGACCTCGAACAGGAACCTGGGAGTTGAGTTCATATGGGAGTCGATGCAGAATCCATGGCTTTCACCTTATGGGCGCGCAGAGGTAAGAGAAGAGAACGAGACTTGCAGAAGCTGGCATCAAGGGAGTTGCAGGATCTTATTGTATTAGTTGCCCCGAAAGCATTGTGTCAACAACTGAGGTATATCCGTACAAGCGCCGGGGATGTGAACGGGAATAATGATGCAGGTTTTAGGACCCACAGGGTTGCATTCGTAGCGGCTGCGTCCTACTCATCCGTGACTGGTCATGACGGCCATCGTTCTAGGCTAAGCCCAGGGGTCTGGATGAAGAGACGAGGAGCTAGGATGCGATGTGACACGACACGGTGCCATACGATGCTCGGCCCGATGGTCGTGTGAGAGAGGGTTATAGACCGTTGCTATATCTCGTATGTCTTCGTCCTTCTGTGTAGGAACTTGACGAACTTGAGAAGAAATCTTGCTGATCCACTGTGCCTGATTGGTGCAGTAAGACAGGGATTTGGGGTGAATCTATGATTCCCCGCCTGCGGATCTGTGACTCGAGTTGAGTGGAACAGATCTCGACACGACATGGAGTGATGACTGATATGCTCTCCCTTGCCAGGCCGAGTTTACCAGCGAAATACTAGAAGTAGGAGAGACCCAGCAGGCCAACTGGGTACAAGTTGGTATAAACCTCGTTCTCGTCATCCGGCCGGAAGCAGGGGATGACAAACGTAAGCGCGGGCATCGATTTGGTAGCTGATCGCCAACGGTCCCAAGATCTGTGAGGCGCAGTCGCAGACCCTGACATCGATATCCTCTCCATCCCTTGATGGGGTGGTTAGCCTGTTGCAGATTGCCTCGCCTAAACTGCCATTCGTCGATGGAGTCTTGAAGTCGTGTCGGAGAAACTCGGGGATTATTTACGATTCCGAAAATATTTGTAGAGACACCCGAATTCCATCAAGTCCCTGAATCCTGAACCGTCCACCCACATTGTTGGTAACCTTCAGCTCGCTCGCTTCGCCACACCCTTGCTGGTAGGAGACTTGGTACCATGCCTTTTACAGCGTTAGCCCAGCTCGCTCGAGCTACCCCATAGTATCGAGTGCCTATCTGGGGTCGAACCGGCATATGAAATGCGCTTTCTTTTCCTTTCCCATTCTATTCCCGGCGAATCGCCAAAACCGGCCTTCAGTTATCAGTGTGCAGCACTGTCGTCTTGGCCAGGAAGGATCGGTCATCGGCCAATCTTGACATCAACGTGTACTTGTCAAAATTGTGGTGAGTGATGGATCCAGTCGACCCAAGTGCTGAGACGCAGGAGTATGAGTTGCTCAAGACATAGTACGAATTGCTCACTTGCAGCGCATCGCTGAAAGACAGACCCTACAAATAACCACGCTGCCAGCACAAGAACGTATCTTTAATATTGTCTGCGTGGCTCTATACAATTATGCCGCAACTTGCGGAGAGCGGAGGGACGAAGAATGGATCAAGACGGGTGTAATACGGGTGGGCCGTGGTGGCTCCAAACTCATTACCGTTCAATTCCCGTTAGCCCTTGACTCGTCGCCAGTAACCCCGTTGGTGTCTGTATGATTCTATGCCGGTTTTGTCTTGACCGCCATTCAAGCCTTTCTTCTTCCACATGGACTGCCATGTCTGATCGAATGTCGCAATACATACTAAAAACCGTCGACAATCCAAACTTGGGGTTGCCCGATTGGCCCCACATGCTATAGGAGTAAAGGTATCGCGACTCATCGTACCTAGGTAGGTTGGTCATGAGTCAATGGTGCAGCCCAACGCAATGGTTCAAGTAAAACCAGATTTCTGTTCCTTTCCCTGTCCGACCCTCGGCCTAATTATTTCATCGATGGTTTCCTTATATATCCCTTTCCAAGTCAACTCATCCACGATAACCGTGTTGCGAGTGTTCGGCGTAGGACTCGGCGGGAAGCTCCGCAACGACATGTCCTGGATGCGTGTCGTGCGCGGCAGGCCAGGTGGGGAAATCGGGATCGGACATGAAGTTTGCCGCCTGGTATTGCTGAGATATGCCGAGCTCCGAGTGGGCACTCGGTGAGGGGTGGGTGATGCCGATGCTGCCGACATTGCTTTTCTTCGCGTGGTGTTGTTCCTGTCCGCCAGGAGGACTTCCCTTCTCGAGAGTGCTGCCAACACCGCCGGCACTGTGGGTTTCGTCGTAGATGATATGTCTTCGGCGTAGGAAAGCTTGAACGACAGCAATGACGAAAATAAGGAGGAGGATGCCGCCAACAGTGCCGGCAATGACGGCAATAAGGGTGTTGACTGGCACTGAGACACGGGCATCGCAGCGACTGAATCGGTCGATGTAGGCTGGGGAGTGATCTCTTTGGGGATGAAGCCGTCAGCATCGCGGTAATGGATGTTGGCGTGGCGGATGATATGGACGAGGTGATAATGGTAGAGGTGTCCATGAGCGACGACATCCACGACGAGGTGGTCATGAAGGTTGTCGTCTGGCTTTTCTCGGTGGCAGTGATGGTTACTAAGGTGTCGTGTAAGTAAAATGGCTGTTCAGAAACGACGGTGGAGTGGCGGCAGACTCACCAGTCGCTGTCTTGACACGGGAGACGCGAGAGATGACTGGGCCTCCGGTCTCGAAAGCTCCACCAGACCGAGAAAGACGGAAAACAGCGTTAGATACAGGAAACGCAGTGTCGTCGCTGCTGTCATCGTAGTGGTCGTATGGAGCGGCGTGTAGCTGCATGGTTGTGACTAGCAAGGTGGGAATAGAGAGAGAGAGAGGTTTGGGTTTATCAAGTGGAGGGAGGGGATGTGTGAAGATGCTAATAATGTCGGCTTGCGCCTTGGTGGTGATGAAGCGCAAATGGGTTCTTAAGTTGTGGGAAAGTTCAACTCGAGCGAGAGTGGTGTGTGCAGTAAAGAATGCGACAGCCGAAGTAGGTGACAATCGAGCCAAAGCCGAGGACAGCCAGAAAAGAAGAGTAAGAAGAATAATACAGATTTGGCCGAAGGATCAAGGGGAGATCCTAGGAACACCGACGGATGAACAGAGGCAAGAAGTCTGAAGAGGAAAAAGCTATAACTGAGCTTTGGGCAGGATTCGCAAGATTGAAAGGACGAAGAGGAAGGTACGTCGGGGTCGGATGAAAAGTGGCAACACCCACGATTGAGGCAGTCACAAACATCATTGGAAGGTGGGCGATGAATACAACGTCCACCCAACAGGGCCTTACTTCACTTTTGAAGTTGCAACGGTTTCATTCAGAGCACGTTTACATGATTCACTAGGAAAACCTACCTCACAATATTCGCCTGAAACTCTTGAAGTTGAACTCATTTCCAACCCCAGAGAGCTATCTTATTCCGTAAGGAAAGGTATTACAACCTAGACTACTCCCACTTCGTCCCCACTCTCTATCAGTAAGTTTACTGCGAATTGTTTGCCTCGGATTCCGAATTTCTTTATGTGACCTGCCCCAACTACCCGTATCCCATGGCCGACACCGACGATGCCTGGTCTTTCCCTCCTCCGTGTGGGTTTAACAGTGACGAGCTTGGTTTACTCTTGTTTTGAATACCTATTAGTGGTGTGGTCATGAAGGAATTGTCTTGGCTAGCTGGGCGGCATAGTTGCAACGAGCTCTTTTCGCCTGTGTGCCACTCCCCCAGTCTCATCAGCCTCCCTCTCCTGACGTGTGACCGACTTTGACCGACCTACGCGCTTAGGATTCCGGCGAATGTGTCTCATCCACGAAAGATGCCACTAGTCCAGTTATCTTTTCTACTTCGACTTGCTGGGCTCTCTTGTTAACCATCAGCTATTCGTAGACAATAGCTTCAAGTACTGACCTCTGTGGTAGCGCCGCGTAAGGGAAACCAGGCTGTCGCAAGCATACATGAACGGAAAACAAGAATTTAGTGTCGGATGCCATGTAGGCCTTCTTGCAGGCGGTGTGGCCGCATCAGAAACCTAGCATCGACTCAAAGGAGTTGGTCAACGTCGACCTCTGGCCCACCTAGATTGCCTTACCCTTCGTTACATTTGGGTCCGCCTTCTTCTTTGTGTGCCTAACTTAACAAGACATGCTAGCTATCCGAGCTCAGCGCCTGTAAAAATGTCACAATACATCCGCAACCGCAAGATTTGATTGGACTTGCCAGCCCTTCCGGCTTGTTAAGCATCGCTAGTCCCACCGGGTGCATTCTGATACCGTCCGCCGCTCTATGCTACATGTCAAAGCATACTTGATGAGATAAAGAAGCACTGTCTCTTCGCACTTGGTAACATTCGTATGGAGATGGAGTCGATATCTTCCGTTTTGTTGTTGTCGCCTTGATCGTTGAAGTCTTTGAACACTTGTCCCATGTCTCCTTCGCCCTCATATTGCCTCATACCACTCCTTCAAGACACGCTTCTCAGGTCCAGAGTCAGTGGCTTCTACTGCTTAATCGCCTAACCACCGCCAATTCCTTGTAGCGTTGTATCTCCCGAGTTTCCCGTAACCATGAATACTCGAGGGCCAAACCAGGTCGCTGACAAGGCAAACCATCAAGGATACATCCTTCTAAGTTCTCGAATGGACATCGTCTCCCGGTCATCACCAACGGAATCTTAGCCACTTGTATCTGTGCTACGTTTCGCACAGCGTTCGCCCCGGCCCTCGGTCATATGTTCCATAGCATTCAAGCCACGGAAGTGTAGTGTTGGAAGCACTAGGCACCATCGCTCAGGCATCGTGGTCGAGTAGTATTATCTGCTGCCTCGGATACATCAGGTCGGGAGACGGTTCGCACACTATGTCGGGCAACTAGTCCACTGAATCTCTGAGGAGGCCAACCCTCGAAGCTGTCCAGGCTGCAGGGCATACGGTACAGAGCGCCAGACTAAACGTTCACATATGCCCCTCTGTAGATGCCCTATCTTTTGATAGTGACATGAACGAGGAAGTCTATCAGTGCAAGTCATTGAAGAAGAGGACAGTGTATGAACCACAGGCTGTGGCGTTAGGTCAGTACGGGCTATCATTCAGATTGTATAGCCTCCCGTGCGCATCTCGTCAACCACCAACATCAGCAACGCTGGCTAAACATTCAAGCAACCTTGACCGCTCGATTTGGGGTACGGCAGTAATCTAGAGTTCGCATTACCCCCATAGCACCCTTCGGCCGTTGGCTTCATCTGCCAATGATAGCCCGGTGAATCTTTTTCACTTCCCGTCTTGCGATCCCGGCTCCCTTACCAACGCATCAATGGTCCAAGGGGAGTTAGGAAATATCGAGGCGTCCGCGCCCTCACCCCATTGTTCTGGCTTGCACAAACAGAATCAGGTTCACTGTGGGCTTCGTATTTCGCGCCATCGCTGCTGCCTGCACGCCGGTATTCCATTTTTGCTTCGTCCAACTTCTTGCTGCGTTCTGGGATCCTGAAGACTAGCCCACCGCCGGATGAGAATGGGTCATCTGTCTGGTAATGGTAAATATACTCGGCGGGGCATCTGTGCTTATCGGACGATACCTCACGAAATATGCCGGCCAAGCTTGGGCAAACACTCTTCGCGTGGAAGGTATGAAAGGGATTCTTCGACAGCCTAACTTGTATTTCGAAGAGCCTGACTACTCAGCAAGCCATTTCGGCGATTGCTTGGGCGGACATGCAGAAGAGATGATAAATCTAGCATCGCGCTTCATACCCATCATCAATATGGTCGTGGTAGATGATCACTCCATCAACAACCTGGATACTGTTAATTTGGTGGAAGTCGGAGCATTTTGCAAACAGAAGGTAATGGATACGGTGTCGGTCATGCATTAGATATTCACCAAAATCCAAGTAGTATAACCTTTCACACTAGAAAATCACTTTACTGACTGGCATCCCCAGTTGGTCAACGGAATCATGCGTAATCGGGCTGCAAAAGGAGCGGTATCGGAGGGCCAACGTCGTTATTCCCAACCACGATGCGGAGTGTAGTCTTGGCCTACCCTTCACAACCCATACGCCAAGTCCTGCGAAGTATCAACTTGACTATTGGTAGCGGAAAGTATGTACCGATGGTGGGACCAAGCGGGTGCAGCAAAAGCACCGTCATTCCCCTTCTCGTTTTCCTTCTTACAGGGTTGTACGGACCTTACCAGCTGGATTTAACAGGCGGAACCAAGCCGTGCCAGCTTACCTATGGAGATATAACATCTGACCAGACGGATAGAGAGCACTTCCACTCTCACATTTCTTCGTGCTACGGACGCCCTACCTCTTCTCTGTGAAGGTGGCAGATAGCATCGCATGCGGACTAGCAGAAGCTTCGCCATTGTGCCATAGCAGTAACGTGAGAAGGGCTGCGCGGGGGGTCGAGAATCTACGAAACTCATCATGTCGCTTCGCCAGGATCATGACACGCTCGTTAGAGAAGACGGACAGGATATTTCTGCAGGCCAGTCACGGCGAACTTGTATAACCAGGGCACTGGCCCGACAGCCGTGGCTCATGATCTTGGACGAGCCAATGAGTGCCCTGGACAGCTTATCAGCAGAAAGTATTCGACAGACGATCACTAGTATCATAGCAAACGCGGGGGACCGCGAGACAAGCACTGTGGCCGTAACTCATAGCAGGGAAACAATGCGTATAGCTCGGCATGGCATCGGGTTGGAAGCTGGCCGCATGATATGTGAGGGTATCTCCTACGAGCAGCAGTTTGACAGCAATGTCTTTCCAACTCTCATCAACCGTGATCTATAAACTCAGAGGTACACGGTGCCCACAGTGGCCGTCTTTGTCATGGTTCTCTCATCAGTGGTTGGTCAAACTAGGCAAGTACTTTTTTTTGTTACTTGAAACGAAGCTCATTGCATCGTAAAAAGGTCATCATCCAAGCCCAAGTGTTCTCACTCGGCATGTGCTATACATCAGCAGTCTAGAAGAGTACTAGGTGAATGGCGAGACCAAAGGGTCGTACCACGCAGTAGACAGGGCAGCCTTGCCCGAACACCCCGTCCTTTCGAACCCTGTTGTCGAAACCGTGGGCCGCTTCATTCGGTCAATCAAGAGCCGGCTCTATCTACTGCTCACAATCCGTCGACCTCGGGTGAAGCACTTTCTAACCGAGGGTTGCAGGGTGCATGTATATGACATCGTAGTCGGTTTTTTGTTTCGGCCATCGTCGTACGAACTCAAGGTATGAACTGAGCTGCACAGTTTAGCTAGAGGTCTTGGATGCCTGTGCCTTCTCGTAGATCCAGTCGTTCAGGCCCTTGCGGTTTCTGGCGATCTCGATGGCGTAGAACTGCATGCGAGGCGCTGGGCAAGGGTTATTTAGTTGACGCTTCCCTACAATATTAAAACCGAGGAGAGTGCGAGAACGACTCACCAAAGATGACCTCGTTCTGTCCGTACTCGAACTTGGGGTTGGCGCGGACCATGGTGCCGAAGTTGTAGTCGTCAACTTTTTTCTCGTAGGCCATCATGAACTTGCGCCAGCGCTCCTTGCCGTCCTTGCTTTTCATCTCGTCCTCGTTGATGGTGGCGGCGGGGTCGAATTCGGGGAAGTCCCTTTGCAGGTGCTCGTAGATCTCGTCATCAATTTTGGTCAGGCGCAGAGAGGAGCCCTTGACCTTCTCCAAGATATTCCAGTAGGTCTCCATATGCTGGACGACTGCGAAAAGGCGAGGCTGATTAGCACCTGGTTGTACTATAGAACACGCACTCGGCGAGCGGCAGCGTGGTATACACACCCTTGACGGCGA